TGTAAAAAATGGTTTCGCTTCGTTTGTTTACGTTACACCTGATCTTGAAATTTGATTGGCCAAAAATCATGGGTGGGTTTTGTTAAGCCAATTGGATTCTAATTTGAACATTCTGAATATAGATAACTTCGCAACGTGTGATATTATGCAGGATCAGTGCGACGAGTAAAATTCAAACGCAATACACTTTATAAAAGACTTTTATACCCACAAATTAAAAATAAAGTCTACTACAGTTATCTCTTTCTAAGTGTACGTTCTCTAAGTGCAACTATTAGAAAAATTTCTCTAAATGTAAGGTTTCTTTAAATATATATTTGTAGAAATATATGAAATCGATACAAACGATAACGAACAAGGGAAATGTGTGACTACGATAACATTGATAGATAAAATCTAGGAATTATACATGTTAAGAAAAAGAGGTTCGATCTTTGACTTATATATTACTAAATAACAGCATTAAAGCGAAGTTGAATGAAGCGAATCATTCTACTAAAACAACGCTAGATGACGTAAAAAACCTTTGTGTCTCACATAGATAATACAGACTTTGTTCAAAAATCAGTGATAAACAAATTACAGGAAAACGCTCTTATTCTTACAGAAGAAAAACTAACCAAAAAATTGGCATAACATTGTAATATAATATACTGTATAAGGATATATAACAGCATCACCAATACACACTTCTGGTTTAGCCCACTACATTTGTTTCATTAATTGTAGATAAATGAGAGAATATGATGAATCTCTTAATAAATACCAGTTTAATAATTAAATCAGCCAATGCTTTAGATTGTTCCAAACTTAGAGCCGTTTAAAAATATAGAAATTTTTCAGTGTTTCGTCAGTTTGGGTGTGAAAATTTCGGATTAAATCAAAGTTGATATTAGCGTAAACAGCCCTGCATCACATTTATGACAGTTCGAAAGGATGGTTTTGATTGTATATAGATCTTTATAAACTATAGAATAAGTACTTTTATTCATATAAACTAGCTGATATGATAATTCAATTTATAAAATTAAAGTTAGTTTTTACACTAAATTTTTTGAATTTTTCCTCTGTTTCCAAATCAAAATCATTTTCTTGAAGATCTAAAAAGTTTAGCGTGGTGTTTTCGCAAAGTTTCTCTGCTAGTGCTTTACCACCCTCCAGTCCGAATTCATTTTTACTAAGGTTCAAAAAAATAAGGGTGGAATTTTCGCAAAGTGCACAAGCTATTGCTTTTCCACCTTCTGATCCAAGTTGATTGTCTTGAAGATACAAGGAGGTTAGGGTGGTGTTTTTGCAAAGTGCAATTGCTAATGCTTTTCCTCCCTTCAATCCCAGATTATTATCATTAAGATTCAAAGAATTCAGAGTTTTGTTTTTACAAAGTGCATTTGCTAATGCTATTCCTCCCTCTGATCCAAGATGATTATTCCAAAGGTCCAAAAAAGTAAGAGTTGTATTCGTGCAAAGTGCTTCAGCTAATGCTTTTCCACCTTCCGATCCGAGTTCATTATACCGAAGATCCAAAGAAGTCAAAGCAGTATTCTTTTTGAGTGCATCAGCTAATGCTTTTCCCACCTCTAATTCAAATTCATTATATCGAATATCCAAAGAAGTCAAAGTTGTGTTTTTAGAAAGTGCATTTGCTAATGCCTTTCCGCACTCTGATCCCAAATTATTGTTATTAAGATTCAAAGAATTTAAAGTTTGATTTTTGCAAATTGCATTTGCTAATGCTTTTCCTCCTTCCAACCCAAGTTGATTATTCCAAAGATTCAAAAAAGTCAGGGTGGTATTATTACAGAGTGCATCTGCCAATGCTTTTCCTACTTCAGATCCAAGTTCGTTCATTCGAAGATCCAAAGAAGTTATGGAGGTGTTTTCGCAAAGTGCAACCGCTAATGCTTTTCCACCCTCTAATCCAAGCTGATTATGTCTAAGGCCTAAAAAAGTCAAACTAGTGTGCTTGCTAAGTGTCTCAGCTAATGCTTTTCCACCCTCTGATCCAAGCTGATTATCCTGAAGTTCTAGATAAGTCAGAGAAGTGTTCTTGCTAAGCGCATTCGCTAATTTTTTTCCACCTTCCGGTCCAAGCTGCTTGTGTTGAAGATTCAAAGAAGTTAGAGTGGTATCAGAAAGACAAAGTAGATTTATAGATACTTTTATATCTTGATCTAAAGAAAATGGTCCATCATTTTTAATTGATAAATCATTTAAAGTTTTGAGGATTAAATCTATTTCTGGACGATTATCAGGTTCCTTATCCCAGCATTGTTCGTAAAGTTTAATATATTGAGGTGGTGCATCTTTTATTGGCTTCTCTCTTTCTCCTTTGAATATACGAAAACAGAGTTCTATTTTTGATCCTATGTTTTGAAATGGTGGCACTCCGCTCGAAATTTCCCAAAGAATTACTCCAAAACTATAGATATCTGATTTCTTATCACGGTTATATCCCGACGTAATAAAACATTGAGGCTCTATGTATGCTGGCATTCCATCAATCCTTGAATTTGAATTTGAAGACATTGTCATCTCATTTATATGTTTTGACAATCCAAAATCAGCAATCTTTGATTGTCCTTGATGAATTAAAATATTTTTTGAATGCTATGAAATAAAAAAAAAAAAAAAAAGCATTAGTGAATTTAAATTTTATGAACAATATAAATTTTATTTACTCACAAGGTCTCTATGAATAATATTATTCTCGTGTAAAAATAAAAGCCCGTTCAGGATTCCTTTGGCAATATTTAATTTATCTGTCCATCGTAATCTCGTAAAATTTTCTCTCAAATATTCTCTAAGATTTCCTTCATTCGCATATTCTAAAACTATATAATATCCACGGTCATCTATTTATTTGTAATAAAAAAATATTATTATCTGTTATTTAATATAGTTATTTCATATTCATCGAAAGCTTTAATTGTATTACCTTTAGTGACTCCGTAGAATGTGATGACATTTGGATGACCATTAACTCTTCTCAATAGTTTAAGCTTTATTACATGAAATATAAGAATTTATATATATTTTTTAGTTTTTATTACATGAATTAACATGTACAGTACTAAATTTAGTATGAAATCAATTATAGATATAACGAGACTTATGATTCAATGATTTTAAAAAATCAGGGAAAATAACCTTTCAGGATTATATAGATAAAAATTAATTTGCTAATTGTCCTAATAATTCCTTTATGAAATAAAGGTTTATTCAAGTAACTTTGTTTACAAATCTAGGCAATTCCGAAGGGTTATTAAATAATTTCGGAGGGCAATTTTTTTAGTAAAGTTATAAAATTATTATATAATAAATTTGCATATGATATATTTTTCAACTTTAATTTTCATTAATCTTTATTTTACATAAGCATGTCCGTTATATGTATAGTTGACTGTAATAAATAATACCTCATTAACAAAATCTTCAAAAATATTTTCATCAAGATTTGCATCGATTCTAAGACATTTAAGAGCGACTATTAAACCGCAACCTCTCCATTCGCATTTAGAAACAGTTCCAAAACCTCCAGTACCAATCAATGTACGGCCTGTAAACTTACTATATTCAATGTAATTAATATGTTCATCAGAAATGGCTCTTTTAAGCCATTCCTCTGGTGTATTTGCCATGTCTTGCCAATGAAATTGTCATTTTGACACACTTGCGTACGTACGTACGTACATACATACGTACGTATGTATGTGTACCGTTACACGGACTATTAAAATCATTCCTAGACATTTTCGGTATACTTGCTTATCTTATGTAACATTTACGTATTACCGTTACATTGTATGGCAAACTATGTTGTGCAACCCGATTTAAAGAAAGCACATACGTACGTACATACGTACGTACGTAACATGTACGGTTACGTAACAATCTCTCGTTTAAAAAAAAAACATTTATTCTTTCGAACGTAAACTGTGCGCGGCTAGTAAAAGAGCTTAATATTACTATTTGAAGTAAGCATAATCGGATTACAATTGACTGCTTAATTAGAGTTTTGAAACAAACCAAATGAGTTTAGTAAAAGTCTGGAATATAAAATGTGTTACAGTTCTGCTGTACAAACCTAGAATGACAGGCATCATTATATATACTTACGTACAATCACTTTCAAAATTTTCAATTAGATTTAGAGAAAAGAGCAAAAAAAAAATTTTTTTACACAGCTTAAAGACATCGAGGACGATATAATTCATGTTACTATTGAATTCCCTTTTATATACCTTTGAAACATTTGCAAACAATGACGGAAAAGTTGATTCATTCTGATGAAAGTTCTAGGACAATATATTGGGATGATAAGGATTTGCTCATAATGTCATGTGAAAAAAATGCTTGGTCTCCAAAGGCAAGAAGGTTTAGTAATGGTAAATTTATTACATGTTGTCTAATATTTGAATTGATTTAGAAAATAATATGTTCTGAATTTAAGCTTCCGTATTTTCTTATATTATTTTATAGAATCTGAAGATTCGATATCTGTTAATTTTGATTTGGGAAATAAATATCCTCAAGCTAAGAAATTTTATTTCTTTGGTGTATATGATGGGCATGGAGGTATAGAAGCTTTTATTATGTTATATTAATTATTTGATATGTTTTCTTTGTTAATTTCATATATTGATTTTGTATGTTTAAAATTAGTGCAAGATGCTCACAAGATTTCAAAATTATGTTCTGAGCTACTGCCAGAAAATATTGCCAAAAATTTGACAATGAAACATAAAAATGAAGAACAAAATGTCATAAATGCCATAAAAAAAGGATTTGCAGCAACGGAGCAATATATGAAAGATGGTATTTTTTAATTTGCATTTATGTAGTTTTGAGATATTAATTTTCTATTGGTTTAATTCTTAGCAATTGTTTTGCTTCTTTATTAGAACTTTTTAGAGAAGCACAGGATTCTGGAAGTACAGCACTGATTGCCGTGTTAACACCTTCAAGAGCATTATTTATTGTAATTAAATTAAAAAATAATATTTTATAGCTTTTTAATTTATTATAAAATTGTAAATACGTATATGGCTATAAATTAATTTTCAGGCTAATATTGGAGATTCACCTGGTTTTATTTCATCAAGAAGATTATGTTCTCTTCAAATTACAAAGGAACATGATGTACATAATAAAGGTAATTAGATATAATATTAAATAATATTTTTTTTTTAGCATTAATATAATTTTTATAAAATTTTATTTAGCTGAAATTTTACGATTACGACAACAAACAAAAGAAAAAGATGGTGTTGGTTTTTCTATTTATAGATTAGCTCCTGGAAGAAGAGAAAAATCTTGGGCATGTACGTATAATAGATAATGATTACAATATATTGTTAAAAGGATGATTATTTTATTTGATTATATTTAAAATTACTAGTAAATAATACATATGGCCACGGAGTACAATTTACACGTTCATTTGGAGATTTTTATATTAAAAATAAAGCACCAAAAAGTTTGATATGTAAGTAAAATAAATTAAATTAAAATAATAATTATTTTTTTAATAAATTATTTAATTCATTATTATTTTAATAGCTGAACCAGAAATTGTAGAAAAATTTGATGCAAGAAAAATAAATTTGCTTATTCTTTGCTCTGATGGTAAATATTTAATATCGGTAACTTATTTTTAAAACACTTATATATATTTTCGCAAATTTTTATCTAGGTATTACAAATCGCCTTAGAGCATATAAAAGATTGCCAACACAAGTTTTACTAAGTTATATTAAACAACATTTAAATTCAGAAAATCCTCTTAAATCAGCTTGTGATGAATTGGTCAAACTATGTGATTTAGTCTCTCAATCAGGATATTGTATTGATGATATGTCAATTATAGTAATAGTATTTTTAAATGGCAAAACATTAAAAAAATGGTGTATTGATGCATCTAAACGAGCTGAAAATCCTGAAGAATGGTTAAAGAATGAACGAAATGATGATGATGAAATTTCTGATATTTCAGAAGAAGATTTAGGTGAAGATGGCTCTCCGGAAAATAATATTGACTTTGATATTTATGATACTTCAAATCAGTATTCTGCTGAAGAAGCTGAAGAATTTGATGATTTGACTGTTCCCGATACTTAAAATTGTTTTAAAAGATGAAGAATTGATAATATATGGTTATTCCCGATATTTAAAATTGACTAATTATTCAAACATGATTATATAACCTCAAATAATCAGATCTCTCTAATTACATCCGCAGGCATGCACTATTCAGTATGGGTTTAAAGGGGTATACATTTAGAGAAAGTAGCTTTATAAATGTTATTAGCAGTCATAATTAAAATACAACGGTAGATTATCATATCGAACTGTTTTTCTTTTTTTTTTTTTATTAGCGCCTGCTAGTGTAATGTATTTATTATGAAGGATTATCTTAAATTCAAGCTTTTTTAAAATTATTTTTTTTACTAAGATCTGTTGGTTAGCTAGCAAGAACAATCTTCGCAAAATTTCCGTAAAGAGAAAACCATATTGGAAATGATTTAAATGAAACCCTAATTTTAAATGAGTTGACATTGTAATATCTTTCAGGATACTATCACTATGCATTAAAAATAAATATATATATCGTTATATATACTAATCACGCTTCAAATCAAAAGATTATCACTGCCGAATCAAAATCTTATCCCAAAATTTATGAAAATAAAATCTTTTGGTCGTCTAGTATTGTTTACAGTAGTTTCATAAATTCTGGAACAACTAAAAAAATTGCCGATGACCGAATCAATAAGTTACCGAGTCAGAAACAATAAGTAACCAACTTTTGCCGAATGCAGAAACTTATCGATTCGGTCATCGGCAATTTTTTCAGTTGTTTCAGAATTATGAAACAGCTGTAAGGTTATTAACCGGTCACTGACTGGTTATAACTAGGGTTATAAACTTACGTTAGAATTTACATAACAGTAATAACTTACATGATTTTTAAGTAAACATATAAAAATTGCCTGTAAGTTACATTATAAGTTACATCAAAATTTTGAAATTTAATGTAAGTTTACAACCATAGATATAATCGAACCGAACTCATCCCTACCTATGAAATGATCAATTGTGGTGATTACTGGTCAATGGTAGTTAGCCAATCAATGACATAAGTAAAACTTCTAGATAAAATTTTAGATGTTGATATTCACAAATAAATGATATTGCATGTATGGTCAGTCAAATTATTATTCAAAATCTGGATCACTTAAATGAATCAGTTTACGTAGATGAATTTGAATTATGTTCAAGTGATCCCAGTTTTGGACAAAAAGAATCTAACTCGAGTTCAAGCGAACATAAATTTATGTTCAGTTATTCATCCTTTAATATACTGTAACAACTCATTCTAACACGATAAGGGAATGCTTACTATTAAATGAATTATTTAAATAAACTTTATTATTGGTAATATATTTAACTATCGGTCAAAGATCCTTGAGCGACTTGCATAAATTTAGAAGATTAGATTTAATAATGTGACAATTTTTAATCTTATTTGTATACTTTAGTAACTTAGAATTTATTATAAATATTTGTGAGTGCATCTAAATATATTAGACATAATTATGGTGAGGTGCATTATAAGGTGGCGGGTGTGTATCAACACTTTTATGACCAAAACAAATCTTGCAAGCAGAAAATAAAAGGCTAAAAACATTAATAAGTGCTATGAATGTCACTAACCCTGCCGAGATCAAAAAATTTTTTTTGGTATTAGGATCATTTTTAATTCCAGAGTATCCATTGTAAATTGACCAGCATAAAACTGCTAGATAAGCTATCGAAAACATATCTGAAATAGAACTAATTTTATCAATTGTCATTTTATTTACTTCTCTATCTCCCCAGAGAAGATAATATTCCTGTTTAACTAGATTATACAAAAGCTTTTGTATTAATATAAATTGCAAAAAATTTTAAGAATTGAATGTATAATTGACTTACAAAGTAGTATGCAGAAATGCTCGCAACAAGTTAATCCAACTGCAGACCGAATTTGAAATATAATATAAATACGTAAAATTAGTTCTACTATGATGATTACAATAAATGTCGTCATTAAAATCTGTCCTTGCTCATGCTATGTAAATAAAATAAAATTATATGAGTTTCTAATAAAATTTATAAAAATTTTTTTTCAGATCAATTACCGAGCGATAAACTGTGATAACGGTCACAATAAGCAGAAGATAAAAAATAAAGTTTAAAATTAACCAAAATTTCCACAATAATCGCTTCCTTTCTGACGCTGGTGATCCTGTTCCCATTTTGATTTAAATAAATTTAACTGTTAAAGATGATAATTAATGTACTTCTCGGCTTATTTAAGTTTTTTTTTTGAATTTCGGCTTAGCTATCGAAATATTGTACTCTTTTGTCAACTACACAATACACTATACATATCAAGAAACTTAATACGGAAAATTCTTCTAAGAATATTTAAAGCCGTATACAATTATACTGCTGTAACTCAATTTTCCAAAAGCAAATTTATCCATGCAAGCAATCATTTTATCAATAATATTCACCAATCATAATTTAGATATAGGTAAGACGATGGTCAGAAATAATTATCGGTAATGATACTTCGGGAAATAGTACTAGAACTCAGTTAAAATCAATCCTGATTTTGATTAGTAAAACGTTCTACGTACGTACCTAGCTTTTAGCGGATCTCTACATTTGGTGATACCGATTAAGCGGCTTAGCCTATATCTACTACTATTTATGTAAATGTTGGACTTTATTAATGGCGTCAAATTAGGAACTGGAATCTTACTGCGGTAATCGTGGTGTTTTGAATATAAGTAGTTTCTTTCTCTTACTCAAATCCTTAATCCATTATTCACTTTCAAAAAACTTTTAACAAAATGATGCAAGGATAGGGACTTTGATGCTGTTGAAATAATATGTTTAGTAATGCTTGTTACCGATTGTTACTTGTTCTTGAGAATTGCTTGAAAAGTTAACATGTTCATTTAGAACTTGTTTATGCAATTTAAATTCTTGTTCGCAATAGATTCCACATCATAATTGTAAACAACATTAGACTGCCGAGCTTTAAAATTCTTATTAATAATTTTATTTATCCGGATAATACCGTTATTGAATGCTATTCAGCCAATAACTTGTTTATCTGTCAGTGAATTTAATATTATCATTTCTGGGTCCCTTCAGGGCCCAGCAGCTGACATATTAAATTTCACTGACAGATAATGAAATTATTTTACAAATAATTTCTGTTATTGGCTGCTTCGCATCCAATAACTATATATTATTTGCTGGCTTGCGATACTTAGTTTATTAATATTCGATATCCTTTTTTTTTTTATTTTTTAGATTTAATAGGAAATGGGTTTGTTTTTATATGTAAAAAGATCAAATGTAAAAGCGAAATATAAAAAAAATTATATAAAAAATTTTTAAATTTATTGTTCATGTCATTAGCTTGAGCTTAATTTCGTAGAGAGTGATCCCGATCGTCGTAGGTTATCCGATAATACCGTTATTGGATGCACCAATAACTGACGTATCTGGCGTCGAATTTAATCGTGAGATGTCTGAACCCCTGCGGGGCCCAGCCATCATTTTACGATCAAATTCGATGCCAGATATTTCCCGTTATTTATGTTAAGGTTAACGCTTATATTAAAGTTGAAATTAGAACAATATGTAGTAGAATCGCTCACAGAAAACTTTTTTTAGAGCACAAAAGCATTTTCTCATGCAATTTTTTGAGAAATATGCGATCTTTGACAGAGCAAGTGTTTGTGAACGTGTTACGTTAGTGTTACGTTACACCATATCTTGAATGTGATTGGTTTTTATCGCCCTTTTGGACATGTTACCGAAAATTTTGGTAGTTTTTGTATTAAATATGTAAAATCCCCATGTCGATTAAACCTCCCTAGCGCACCCACAAAAATTTTCCCCACCCGTGAATTTTGGCCAATCAAATTTCAAGATCAGGTGTAACGTAAACAAACGAAGCGAAACCATTTTTTACAAATAAACTGAAATAACTCGAAATTTTAATTAAGAAACTACCTTCTGCGGCCTAATTAAAAATGTTCCTTGTGAAATTTTACTAATAGCAATAACCTAACTCTAACCCTAACCTTACACTGTTCTCGCTCTAACCCTAATTATACCGCGGTTTTATGCGCTACCTAAAATAGTGCCCCAGAGGCATGGGCACAGAGTACCTGGCCCGGGTTTAGGGCACGGAAAATCATTACATTGAGCGTGGGACGTGACACTAAATCATCGCGTGAAAAATAATTAATAATATGTCACATGTTACTATTTATTTCCATGTGATGTTTTAGAATTACTTCCGGTGCCAATGTGAAGAGTAAGAATCACCCCCGTGTCCCAAAACCCTACTCGATAAATACAGTAGTAATTTTGGCTAAGATAGTCAATGTTTCCCATTGTTATTATAGAGTAATTTTTTTTGGTAGAAAAATCGATAATAAATTTTGTCCCAAAACTTGAATTTGGGGACATAAATTTGACGAAGATTTTGTGCCTTTTTGTGACCAATCATAAATTTCACGTGATTAACCAATCACGAGAGAGTTATCATGTTATCATGGCTCCTTCATTAAACGTTAAGCCAGGTATGATAATCAAATACTTCATGGGTGATACTCAGGAACAAAAAAAATTGAATCGTGATCTACCTGTCTCAACCTCCCTTGAACCTTGGGTTTCAAACGAAATAGACAGAAGAATTGGTGCATTTTTTGCTCGTGAAGCAGGTTTCACCAGCGTTACCCCTTCTGCATATGAAGCGTTAGGGAATTTACTTGGCTTATGTAATTATTATGCTGTTGTCTTATGAAATTTGAATAGATCTTAAGTAATAAGCGAATTGTTCCATTAAATTTATTGCAGACCTTGGCAATATAATCAAAACCACACGAGCTTATGCCGAGCTTGCGTGCAGAGCGCAACCAAATATTAATGATGTGGAAAAAAGTCTTAAAGATTGGAGCATCAGGACGGGTGCGCTTGAAGATCATATGGAAAAGTGTCGAGGTAACATGATGTAATGTGTTTTATTTAAATTAATACATGACTGA